AATGGTAACCCCCAAGGGTAAAGTGAGCTCTTAAAATTTTACAGAACGCAGGAACCGCTTTTTTATACTTTTTTTTTATTTTTTATTTATTCGAATTTACATAAATAAATTACGCATACGTATGGACATCCTCCGGATCCGGAACAATTATTTGTACACCATACAAACTACTTGTTTCGTGCGAGATTGGAAACCCCGGCTCGAAGCACTAAACCAAACACATAATTTAATAATAACCCCATCTCCTGCTCTGTTTCCCTCTACCGCTTCTTACGACACCCACCAGACAAAACGTGGTAGTGCATATCCTAACACCGTCATTAAGCGATAAACTCATTCATTATCTACGGCCATAAAAGTAGACTGCTGAACGTATACCTACGCCATAGTTTACTCATAGAGAGGATATTAGCTAAAATGCACTAAATTTGCAGCCGATATACTTAGAGAGGTTTTCGGGACAAGGAAGTGTCCCGCGCCCCCTCGCGTTGGTGTACTTCACGTCTTCAATTTTTTTTTAATTTCTCAGTCATGCAGATTTCTTCCGCATGTTTACCTCCACCGCCGAGCACGTGGAAAATTCAAAATTGCAATGACAATTTCATTGATGCCGGCGGGGATCGAGCCCGGTTTGCGCGCGTACTGTAAAATTTACCTTGAATCACTACCCATTCAATGTATTACAGTAGTTCCAATGAATACGTCACATATATATTTTAAAGTAAGTTAATAATAAACCTACATGTTTTTTTTTGGGAAAGTTAATAAGAAACGATTAGTTACAAAAAAGTAAAAAACTAACTCTAATCTACATTAAAAGTTCATAAATATATTCTTGTCATATAATTTCTTGTCTCACCTATTGCACCCAGCAAATCAACGCACGTGACATTGTGGACCGCACGTATTTCTATTCCCACAGACTCGTGATGGTTACTAGCATTACTAGTGTGGGGGTTTAGAGTTTGACTCTGTTATTATCAAACCGCTTTTTGAAGTGAAATGTGAAACGTGAAAAGACAGACAAAAAGCCGCGTATCTACCAAAAATGTTGACAACAGTTATGTTTCCAACAAGCATCTCCACCGAGGGAACAAATGTTGGCAACAAGCGTATTCCTTTGATGTTGCCGCCGAAAATGGAAACAAGTTTTGTTGGCAACAAAACTTTGGTGGAGACGCGGCTTAAGGTACACATCTATAGGATTTAGCCTGCGTGAGAATGAGATAGAATATTATATTAAATTAGTCGTGTTTAGGTCACCTGGCGTCTATTTTACAGTAGCACGTTGATAGTCAATAAATTTTTGTTCAATAAAATGATGCGGATCGCTAGTATTACATAAATCATTTGCCGTGAAATTTATACTATGTATATTTTAAATTTCATTTGATTCACTTCTAACGCGTGTGAACTGCAAACATGTTTTTTTTATAGAATAAGGCCGACAAACGCACATACAGCCCACCTGATTATAAGTGGATACTGGAGCCCATAGACCTCTCTACACCAATCCTCAATAAAGAATCAAAATGCAGATGCGTTGTCACGCCTAAGGACTAAGATGGAATGCCTTGTTTACAGTAAAATGGGTCTCCGGTTCTCTACACTCACCCTACAAAACACAGTAGTATTATGCTGCAATTTTACATTATATTCGTGTTACAATTATAATATCAGGTATCGCATCGCTTGCCCAGCGTGTTGAGTATTGGGAAAATCTTTTAAAGTCACGTAGATGCATTATAGCAGTCACGAAAAGGCCTATACCCAGCGATGAATTTAGAGAGGTTGTTAAATAAGTATTTCAAAAACAAAGACAGCAATATGTTTAAGGAAACTTTATATTGTGTGTACTTTGTTCTGTTGGGATCAAGTTAAAAAAATTACATCTAAATTCTGGATAGTTTATAGATAAACGCTACTTTACGACGATTAACTTCTTACAAAGTCAGTAAATTTAAGTTAACCATGTCATTTTTTTAAATCGTAGTGGCGGTGTAAGTATATCCACTACCCCATATCGGCCTGTAGGTGTCGTAAGAAGCGACAGTTAGAAACAGGTAGGAGATGGTCAGCAGGTCAGAAACGAGGAGAATTTATCCGCCGATTATATCCACTGACAAGATGCTATATGTTCAGCAGTGAACTTCTTGATTTTACCATATTATATTGAAAGTCAAGGTTATCAATCTATAAAATATTGTTCCTAGAAATTCAATGGAAGTCTATTGGTGACTAAATTAGATTGCTACGCTTTTAGCATAACCCGCTAGTCCCGTCGAGCTTTTTACATTTTCGTATTTCCATATATACACTTTAATACCTTCAAGACAAGTGACACTTGGCGATGAAACAGACTATTTTGATATTTATTATTATTGATTATTTTCTATATGATGTATACATCATGTCATCTGCGCGTAAATTATAAATACGTATACTTTTGTGTAAACAAACTCCAGAAGCACACATAAATGTTTTTATGAATCTAATAATATTCAATAAAATTGCGAAATTAAATAATTTAAGGGTACGTTAAGTACCACGTGTCTGACTGGCACTATTGCGCAATAAAATTGAAGCAGGACTTTATTGATTTTCGAAGCCATTTGATAGAAATACGAGATTTGAATTTTGAACATCTTGTCTAGTCTATAGTATTAGTGATAATTTTTTTCATGCGATTAATAGGTTGTGGTGATGCGACAGCAAAAGCTATCGACTGGGTAGGATATACTATGTCATAGTTTTTTTTTTATAGCATAGGGTGACAAACCAGCACATAGTCCACCTGATGATAAGTGGCCCATAGACATCTACATTTATCCTCAATTAATAATCAAAATGCAGATGCGTTTTCACCCCCGAGGACTAAGATGGAATGCCTCGTCTCCCGGTTCTCTACACTCACCATACGAAACACAGCAGCGTTAAGTTGTTATTTTACGCTGGTATTTCGTGAGAGCGTGGACCCCGGTCGACTCGACCCATTCGTGCTACAACCATAATATAGCTAGAGCGTGGCTCTACCACGTAAAAAAGTGTGTAGTGAGTGCTGTATCAGCTTAAATATTTTAACATTTACGTTGATATTTGAGTTCCCTTGTTTTCGTATTAAAGTGTAGAGTATCAGCTCAAATAAAGAAGATCAGTTTGAGTTTGAAATGAGGACTTGGTAATATATGCTGGAAATCGAACGATACAGGTGGTTCAGGATAGTGCTTTGTGGTTTGCTTGGGGGAGGACCCATAGCCAGCCATGGACTTGTGAAGGGCTGTAATAATGATGAAGAATCAATTTTCACCTTTCTATATCTGTGGTAATATGCATATTATAAATGCTTAATAAATAATGTTTTTAAACCTGAAAATAATTGGTTTCGTTTTTACAATGTCCGAAATTGAAACTGAACTTCTGAACCCATTATACTAAGAAAGTCAGGTACACTGCCCGGAACACAATAGCGCACGCACTGCTGTTTAGAGGCTAAGTAATAGGAGTCCTACCACCACAAGTGTTACCGCAGGATATAGGTGTAAGGCTTTTAAAAACGTCGTAAATCGAATGCTATAAACTAGTGTCACTTTTACACTATCACTACAACTACATCACAAAGTACAGTCCTGAGCAATCTGAATCCTTCGACTACCTGTATGTCTCATCGGGTTATTAAATACAAAGTTGTAAAATACAAGGAAGTTAACTTTCTTTTTAATTATATTCGCCGTAATCTTCCTAGGATGACAGATAGACGTAGATTACCTAAAGTCGCCTCTTACAATACACTCGGGAGTAGATTTTTTTTTCAATTCTGATAATTATTGATTAATTTGTTATAAAATATATTTATTTCCAAATATTTAGATTTTCTGCACAATGCTTTTGATCGTAAGGGTGAAAACAATTTATAAACATTTTCCTTTTCTTCAATCCTGATTTTTTTTACATTTTTCTCAAAGATACTTTCGATTATACCGTGTGACAGCCACTTTGAAAACAAAATGTTAAAAGGGAATGTAACTAACTAAATTAGTTTTTACCTGACACCACATGATTAACACAGTTTTTAAAACCCTCATTTAAAACTGATAAAACACACCTTAAGGCTAAAGTTAACTCTTTATTTAAAAATGACAAAATAAATCTTTACGTAACTACATTTTAGAACATAGCTAGAAATTTAATCATCTAAATAAGAAACCGTGTGTTGGCAGAAAACAAATTATTATTTGTTTTAATGATACAGGTACAGGACCAAAATTTCATTGTGTGTTGATTTCCTAAGTGGCAACCAAGAGATGTGTTTTGAAGATCTAATGGTATCCGATAGATGGTACCCCTTATGAACCCTAGGACACCACATTAGAGATATGAGATACTTGGATGATCAGTAGGATAATGCTAAGTAGTTGCAATATATATATATATATATATATATATATATATATATATATATATATATATATATATACTTTAGATGTTTACACAGAAAAACCAATGAAATTGTTTATTTCAATTTAAGGTTGATTTACCACATGCTTGGCAGTAAAGGAAATCATCCTATGGAAACCAGTAATAAAATATTACGGGGACATACAATAGACTAATCAATCCATAACCTACTCACAAACAGTAGGAAGCCTGTATGCAAAAATGAGATGTATTTAGGCTGTATCTTAATTCAGGTTTAAATTAATTTACCACTACTTAATATCATTGTACATTACCATGTAGTGACCATGTCAGCATCTACCGCATATCTTCCCCTGGGTGTCATAAGAGAACAAAGAGAAACAAAGTAGGAGATGAGCAGATTTTTTTAATAACTACTAAAAAATAAAAAACTGCACTTGCTAACCTGCCTGCCTATGATGCAATGTATGGGGACGGCTTATGTTTAGCAGTGGAATTTAATAGGCTGCAACTAAATATAATTCCAAATAAAAAACATTTTAGAAATTTCACATGTTCTCTAAAGGCTTATAAGACAGACTTACCTGGAGTGAAGTTTAATTTGTCTATGTGGTCACCAAGAGCTGATGCCCAGCTTTGCAGTTGATCTAATATACCCCAGGGTGTGGTCATGGCCACTGTGAATATCACTAGGGTATGTGGGAATGTTTCTTCATTGAGAGCAAACTTGAGCAAATTTGTATGTCCTGGATCACCATCCAGCACCCAAACACTGAGTCTCGTGTGATCTAAAACAATTGATAGTTGAATCAGTCAAGTGGTTTTTTAATTTTAGTGAGACTAATGGATAACAAAGTAATTTAATGTAAAATCACAAATCTAATATCATGTGTCCATTAGTGAACAATCAAAGACTGTTTGACATCATAGGATTTGCATAAAAGAACTTGCATAAAGAAAATTGTTGTCCAAGCTTAGACGAAGAGTGGGTATTTTTGCTCATTTAATAATTATGCTCCACCCTTGATAATGAAAAGAACTGAGTTTTTATCACCAGTGCTAAGAATCAACCATTCATAATATATATTTCTTCTATACCTCATTATTTACTCTGCTATAACCCTTGAAATAAGGTTATACCTTCCATATCAATGGTAGAAATGATGCAAGTGCTACCTACAACTTCTAAGATATCTAATGGCCAAATATTACATTTTAAGACATTATTAAGTCTCATGGTGTCACAGTCACTTTAACTAAAAATGATAGAGACAGCATGAGACTTAACTGCATCATAAAATTAAGTAGCGTTTGAGTATTTGGGCTTAAGAGACACAACTGTGATGTAAGGTGGATCTGATAAATATTATTTTGTTTATTATATATTAACTAACTAACTCAATATATTACATATATTGAGTTACTATTTAATTTGAGTTGTTGCGCTGGGGGCCGCGGGTTCGAATCCCGCTCGGAGCAAGTATTTGTATGGCCTACAAATAATTGTTCCGGGTCTGGATGTTTGTCCTCGTGCAATTTATGTTTGTAAACTGCCTCCACGAAAATCCTAGTGTGGTAGTAACGTTTTTTTTAAGAAAAAAAAAATTGCATAATATAGCCCATTGTAAGCAATAATTAAACTAAACACTATGGTTAACAGATCAACAACATAATACAGCCAGTCTGCTAGGTACACTACCATCAGATGGAAGTAGTTTGATCAGTATGTACACAACTACAATTCAAGAAATCGCAAAAGATTAGTATTTCCAATAACCAGATTAGTCAAAGCGTCCAAGCAAGGTTTTCCATTAAAAATCAAAATGTACAATAAATTGCCTGTAGAAATAACAAGACTTCCATTAAACACGTTTCGACAAGTGACAAAAACATTCTTTTTGCATCATGCTTTCTATAATATAGAAGAATATATGAAATGTTAATTTTCTGACTTGCGTGACATGTAAAATAATGTAAAAGTATATTAATTTGTAATTTTAATAATTTAATGTAATCTTATATCATCTGAATTGTAATTTTGACGTACCAATGTTATGTAATGTAATGAAATGGCCAATAAATAAATAAAAAAAATATTTTTGATATAAATCTTGAAGATAGAACTGTATAATTTCTAAATTTTGTTTACTAATATTACCAGCTGGCATGACTGACATTGCTTGGCCTTATCTAGTAGGTGGCCCAATAAGTTTTACTCTGAATTCACTTAAATATAAAATTTATATATAACCTGACCACAGTCCACACCTATTGGCTCCACATTTTATAGTTTTTTTTGCAGTATTCCAACATGTACTATGAATTTGAGTATTTTTGTAATTTGTTACAAACTTGACAGTAGTGGTACCTATCGAACCTATCAAATCAAATATGTTGTGGAAATATGATCTAATTTGACTAGTTGTTTAATAATTACATATCACTAACAGATATGCCAACAATTATATAAAAAGAAAAACATACAATATAATATGGCAAACGGCTATTTGGGTTATAAATATTTAACAGCTTCTTCACATTATTATTCAACTAATACTTAAATGTTGAATGAAAATATTTCCCATATCAACAGAATAAAGTAGGGTTGAACAATCAAAGTAGAACATATGAGATCCTTTACACTTTTTGTGGGACTATTTTATGAATTAGTACAATATGGCATCACAATGGCTATTCTGGAGTCTGTCTGGAGTATCTAGGACATTTTGCAGATTTACTTATGTTAAGTATTTATGTTTTACAAGTCTAAAGATAAACTTTATAACTTTTTATGAATAAGACCATAAGTTTATAAGAGAAAGAGTCATATCGCAAGTAATAAACAAACATTTGTATGTTATATCAAACACATTTAATGCTATGTGTCTATAAGAAAATAAGTTTGTATTATTTCTTATCTTAAATGATAAATAAGAACTTATATGGTATAATTTCTTGTACTTACCATCGCGATATTCATCTCTAACATCTATATATGCGTATTCGAGCGCAGATCCCTTCTTGGGATCTTCAACTCCTTGCAATTTGGCTATAAGTGTAGTTTTCCCAGTTTCATTGTCACCCAAAACTAACACATTCTTATTTGACGGTAATTTGGTGTTACCCTGATTTTGGACTTCTTCTAAAATCGCAGACCTGGAAGAGACATTCACCGTAATTTATTTGCAAACGACATTGAATTTCATACACATTATGACGATTGCTTGTATACGCATTTAAAGATCTGTTGGTATTATGAAAATTACACGGTTATTTACAGACAAAGGTGATATTAGCAGCTAGGTCACATATTTCTCAGGTATGAATCTTGACATCACGTAGGTGTGACACATTGGATACCCTATATGGATGCTGTATATTACTCGTAAAATAACAATTAACTATTACCATAAGTTATCCTTTCCATCACCGTTTTCTTTCTTTCTGGATTTTAGCCCATTAGCCTGGCCGTTTGTCTCCATTCTTCAGGAATTTTAGAAGATAACAACGGCACTGAGGGCTTTTCTTTCGTTTTGGTTTCGGCTGTTCATACGTCACTCTTGCCCAGAGACAGAGACTTCTTTTTTAATTAGGTTTTTTGGCTTGGATGCTTGTTCTTTAAGCTATGTCTTCATTTATCATATTATCAACAGATAATAATCCTTTATAGTACACTGCTTCACAATATGTTTATGCGCCAGATTGCGTAGCTTTTGAGACATTTTGACGGCAACTTGAGCCAGCAGACAGTTGGAAATAGTATCTCAAGGCGCCTAAGCAGGCAGACACTTTATTTTAAGATTCACGTCACTTATTTCAACGTTTCCATTAATAGTTTACATATGCAGACATTTAATACTCAAAATTGCACCACTTTTCCATATCAAAATCCACTTCAAACCATTATTTAAACAATAATACAAGAGCAGCAATCTGCTGCCTGTCAAGAACCCGCTAAAACTCCTCCAGGGACATCTTATTAGTTTGTGACACAGATAAACTGGCTTTACCTGAAAAGTTTTAGAAAATATACACAAACTATAATCAGAATAAAACCAAGTCAATGTTTTATTAGTTTCATTAATATGCATTCCAAAGTCATATAGGTACATTTAAAGTATCGAAATCTAAATCTGAGTCTATAACTTTCTATTAATGCATGTGAGATACATACAAACATACATACATGATTCAGAAATGATTCCTTTTTGATATAGCTTTACAAGATCTCTCTTTTTACCACAGTAATAGAAAGCAAAGAAGAATACAATTTACGCAATTCTTTTGAGTAATTTGGTTGAGTAGTTGTCGGTGGCTGCTATATGGTTGGGGCTAGGTGGCTGGCCAATTGCCACTTCAGCTTAACCGTTGAGCTACGTCGGTAACTTTGGTTTTAATACTGCGGATATCCCAATCACAAAGTCGGATACCTAGAGAAACTCCGAGCAAAGCCTTCATCATAGCAGGCTGATCCACCTTAAGCTTCCTCATGGGGCCAGTAATAAAATACCACGTTTAGGATATATCTGGTGTCTAATATCATTGGCAACACACACACTGGTTGTCGTTCTCGACGTTTCCATGTTTTGAAGTTAACGTTAGCTCCCGATCTCTGCCCAGCCGAGTTTAATCTGTCGATTGACCTCTCGGTAGAAGTTCCACTTATCTAGTCAGACAATTTGTCCTAGGTTAACATGCTTGACATCAACTTCAAGCGTAGCGCTCCCAACAACAGCTAAGGTGGAAAGTGCCAGGGTAACCCGCGAAATTCAAATTTTCTTACGTTTTTTGCAATTTGTAAGTCAGTGTCACGTTGTATGTTTAACAAAATATGATTCGCGGCTGTAACGAGTGTGTATTTGCATAATTATAATCATTATAATCATCAATACTACCCTCTAGGTTCATATAATTCCATTGTATGGCTATTTCCAGAAAAACTCATTCAAAGGGAATATATGAACTAAGAGGGTTGTATTGGTGATTTAAATTATAATAATTCTGTAAACACATAGCTACCGTGGGTAAATATTTGTTTCAGAGAGCACAAGGGATCAGTGACAGTAAACACCTAGCCGCCGAGCTCCAATACCTCAAGCAAGCTTTACACGACAGTGAGCTTCTACTGTCATATGTCAGAGGTGTCACTGACAAGAATGGCTACATCTTGAAGCGTGCTTCCATTAAATCATACTTCAAGCTGCCGAAATAGATGAGTCAGTTTTTACCATCACTCAAGTATAATGTCGTTCTGTAAGATGCAGGAGTGAACAAGCTTGATTGTGAATGTGGTCTCTCTTATGTAGGACAAACTAAAAGATCAATAAAAACGCGCGTTAAATGATAAAAAAAAACTGATGTGAAGAATCGACGCTCCGGGAAGTCTGCAGTCTGTGAACACGTACAGGATCGCCCCCGTCACTACATTAGATTTGATAGACTACAAATCCTCGCTAAAGAACACCGATTTCTTCCAAGGATTACTCGTGAGGCTATTGAAATCAAAAAACATCCTTATTTCAATAGAGAAGATGGCTGGGTGCTGGGTGGTACCATCTGCTTGGGATCCTATAATTAATAAAATTAAATACCAACCTAAGCATACAACTGCAAGACTTAAAGATACGGTAAGTTCATACTGCGTGGATCGGAACAAAGAAAAACTTAATAATTTTTAATCTGGAGGTAGCCGTGGTTAACTATGACATTGGGACGTCAAACACCTCTGCCCCAAACTAAAATTGATTAACTCTCAACGTACTTAAAATCTCATTCTTTCGTAAGCTAAGTCCACAGATGTATATGTTTTTCTCTTTTTAGTGTCGCTTTTTCGTTTCATTAAGTTTCATATCACATCGATTCTAAAAGTTTTAACTTGAAAAATATTGTTGAGAAAAAATAAATGGTCTATTATGATAATCTTAAGTCTAAATAACGCCACATAAATTGGTCCCACCCAGGCGAAGCGGGAGCGAGTTTTTAGTAATAATAGTTATTTTAAAATTAATGTACCTAGTTGCATATTATAAAATTCTTTTCAAATATTTCCCCATTAATAGAAAATTTACAATTAAAGGAACAATTTAACGTCATAACGTTATAACGATATACTGTTATTAGCGGGGTTTCGCTATTGGTAAAAATAGTGTTTATAGTCTTTTTGATTGGTACTTTCGTTTTCGCTATTCTTTATCCGTACGGACTGTATATGGAACAATTACAAAAACAACTTAATACTACTTTTAGTAGTCGTGAATATACTATACTTTTTTTTCAGATCGGTTACGGAGTTAAGCGTTGTGATTATATACTCTTTGGTCGGAGTCACAAATTATAAAGTCAAAGAGTAATGTTATATAGTTGGAGTGTCCATCACAAACTTACTTGTATGCTTACTTCCGACGTAGGCGAAGGACTAGCGTCTATGGTTTCCGATTGTTTTGCTGTCACATTAGAGCGCATAGATATGGTATATACTAAATCTATGTTAGAGCAAGAGCAAGCAGTGTTTCCACTTCTAGGGATTTTCCCTTTTTTAGGGAAACTAAGTGAAATTGTACATGACTTGGTATTATTTTAATAAGACAGGGATTTAGGGAAATTCGGGGAAAAATCAAAACTTATGATGGTAACCCTGTTGTAGTATGTACAGACTCTATGGTGCCAAAGCCCGCGGTTCATTTTTGAAAGGGGAATCCCCCGAACTATTAATGAATGTAATCCGTCCAATTTTAATTTGTCATTTATAATGGCGCGTCTCCACCAAAGTTTTCAACATTTGTCAACACGTGTTGTCGACAAATGTTTCTATAATCACCTAGTTTTAGCAACAAAACGAAACAGTGTCGAGAATCGTGCTTCCATTTTCGGCGGCAACATCAAAGGAATACGCTTGTTGCCGACATTTGTTCCCTCGGTGGAGACGCTTCTTGCAACATTTTGAAACAAATGTCGTCAACTTTTGTTGATTTGTCAACAGTTGGAAACATAAATGTTGTCAACATTTTTGGTGGAGACGCGCCTTGATATCAGTTTCGTTGTTTTAGATGTAGTCGGAACTTATTTATATTTTGTATACCTACTAAGGCTTGCCTGATTTGATTAGTTTTGTTTTATTTACATACTGCACTCCGAATTGCGCCTCGGAATACAAAAAATATAAAATTTTCTTTTCGCTTAACTTGTAAGTAATTTAAAATGGAAGAAAATAATGAAACACCATCCTCTCCGACTTTAATTTCAGCAAGTAAAGAAAGAAAATACGTGTATAAATTTAAAACTTCTTGGCTGAAGCGTCCTGATTTTAAGGTTTGGCTGAAGCATTCTGATTTTAAGTTTTGGCTGAAGAAATCTGATAAAAGTGAGACAAAAGCTTACTGTAAAATATGCGATTGTGAACTTGTATGTGGAATGTCCGAATTACTTAAATATAAAAACAGTGCCAAATACACCAAAAGGTGGCTGTTATTTCGCAATGTGGAAGAATGTCAACTTTTTGGAACAAAAATCAGACGCACGCTACTAATGTATTAAAAATGTGCTGCTTTCTTGCGAAACATGATTTACCAATTTCTTTAGTCGATGATTTTGTATCGCTGTTACGAAACTTGTTTCCGGAATCGAAATGTTTAGAAAACGTGCATCTAGGATAACAAAAAGCACCAAATATTTTACGTCAAGTCACAGGAGCGAAATATAAACAAGAAGTGATTGTTATCATAAAGAATAGCTATTTTAATGTAATAATAGATGAAACAACACAACAGATCTGTCTGTGAAAAAACAGTTGGCTATTATTATAACATTTTTTAATAGTTTGACAAAAAAAGTGGAATGCAGTTCCATCTTTAAATACTGAGGTAGAAAGATTATTTAGTATTCTAAAAAATGTAAAAACAGATAAAAGAAAAAGACTTTCTAACGAAACTCTGAACGGCTTGTTTCATACAAAGTTCGGAATGCAAGGAAATAATTGCTCAATTTTAGAACCCAACAGTGCCATGATAAGTGCAGTAAAACATTACTAAAGTAATGCTTCAGCTTCTAAATCTTCTGTCTGATCTGGTTTTTGGTGATTGATCTTTTGTTCATTTATTAATAAATATTCAAAATAATAAATTATTGTTTAATTTCTCGAATAAAAATATGCTCCTTAAAAATAAGAATTTTGAAGATCGTTTAGGGAATTTTAGGGATAAATCATAAAGAAAAATAGGGACAAACCAAAATTGTAAGTGGAAACTCTGAGAGCAAGTCAGTCTTATCGGTCTTGGCCTAAAGGTCTAGATGCCAGGCCATAAACTCTAAAAAAAAAATCTTATCGGTCTTATCTAATCTATGGTCAGAGTGAAAAATATTCCCAATTTTTGCAGTTGCGCTTTGCGATAAATTTTCAAAAAATATTTGTAGGTGTAACCCATTTTCATTTCCTTTATTTGATTTAATTATTTTCACTATTTGGTGTCGAAATGTCTCGAAAATCAAATGTTGGCAAAAAAGGCAACTTGTCGCAAGTGAGTCATTTATTGTTTCTTCGAATGTTTGTTTGTTT